AAGGAAATGTAAAATATAGGTAGCGTGGTTTAGGTCTTAGCACTGGCTGATAATGGTCTATATGTACTTGAATTAAATTTATGGTACACAAATTTATGGTACATAAACTAGAGTACACAAAGCTTTAAGTCTCTCCATTTGTTAATGACAGTGGTAATGGTTCTTAATGCCACTGTTGACTGCTGTTCTCTTTACATGGTTCAAATGTTATTCTGTTATAGTTTATTAAATACTTCATTACACTATTTGGTTCAGAATGTATTTTCCCTGTTTTCCTCCTCTAAAAATTATGTGCTTCTTAAGGTCCGGTGTGTCTTATGGAGCAAAAAATATGGCAATTGTGGAACTCAAATTAATTACTACTGCTGCTGTTGCTGCTAGTAGTAGCAGCAGTAGTAGTTGTTGTTCTAGTTCTTCTCATTCCCCACTGCCATCATTTTCAATGCTGCTTTATATTTATCTTGAAAATACCCTTGTTGCTATATAATAGGGGATAGATGGACCAATGATCAGATTCAGTATAATACTGCTGCCTAGCTTTAGTAAATAATAACTATCCTTTGTTTTGAACAAGCCTACATCAGACCATAGGATATGCTCCCAGAAGTCATTACTACGTAAGAGAGTCAACATTAACCATAACATATGGTACTACATGATAACTAACAGGAAAAAGGAAGCAACATGCTTTCATCTATTTGCAGATGTCTTGGGAGGGGGCAAGTGAAGGGGGAGGCTTTAGGCCAGAGTGTGGCTCATTCCTGTCATGATAAACTAAGGTGCTTTATGACATCCAAACCTGCCCTATAGGAAACATTTGACAGGTGCCAAACAGCTTTCTCAAGTCTTCTTGACATCAGTTCTCTGCAAAAACAAAAACCTACTAACTGCAGAGAATAAGAAGACAGGGATAAATTTTTAGTGTCTGTAGGTTGCATAAGTCTTATGAGGAGAGAGAAAGAGAGAACAATCTTCTATGAGGATCAAACTAACTGATACAGATAGCTCATCATTAAGGGCAAGAATTACTTTTTTGGCGCTGAAAAATGTCTGTTTGTCACAGCACAAGAGTCTCTCTCACCTTGTGCAGCCTGCAAATTAGCTAGTCATTTATAATAAACACTGGTTTCATTTGAAAGTCTGATTGCTCAGGCACAAAGCTCAGAAGGAAACACATAGCTAGAATGCTAACGTGCTTTCAGCTTCTAATTATACGCTGCCCGAGGCGGTCAGTTTCTTCTAAGTAATCCCCTTGTCTGACAATAACCTCAGCAGCGGCTATATACCGTGGAAGAACAAACAGACTGGGATAAATATTGAAGGGACTTCATTTCACAGCTCTCAATTTTAAATACCATGTATCTCTATTTAAAAAAGAAGTAAAAAGCATGAAGGTACATTCAAATTACAGTATATGGAAACGACAAAGCCCAATGTGACAGGTTGCTGTGAAATGCTGCCTCCTTTTGGCCTACACAACATTGTGCGTCCATGTAATGCTATGACGCAGACCTCACGTAACACTTTTGGCAAGAGCGGTTGGCAGCTAAAAATAAAATAAAAAGAGAAATGAATATTTAAAAGTGACATGCATAAAGAATGCAATGGTATATCCAGCTTGATTACTGGCTTACAGCAAACATGAAACTTTGCTATTGTGATGCCACCTGGTGAAACAACATAATCTTACCAAATTATGTGTTTATTGGAATCAAACTATTTTTTTAAACGAACAAATGTGATATTCATGAGCAGATGGCCACTATATCAAAATACATTTATTCTTAGGACCCAATTCACAGAAGTGCCTTACATGTACCTAAGTGATAAATGTAATTTTTGCACTGTAGTCAAAATCATTTTACACATCATGAGCTCAGGTTTTTTTTTAAAAAATTGAACTTTGCTAAAAATAATAATGTTCACCTCAGCTGTGTTAGCAGGAGACTCAGTGTGCACATCGAGGATCCTGACAATACCAAAACTCTTTTTTTACATTTATAGTTCACTAAACGTGAAAAATATTTTGAAGAAATATTTGTTTGCATGCAAAATGTACTTGCGTGTTTCACATGCAATGGCTTTGACCCTGTCAAGCACACATATAGCCATCAGGGTTGCATATTTACAACTCATTTCAATATCCACAAAGAAATGATGAACAGAAGGGACTGAATGGCACCTCCTGCTCACCTTTCCGAAAGCCAGCTTTGTATGCAGCCCCCCTTGGATGAGAAAGGGGAAGTGCTCAGGCAACAACTAAGGAAACATACCATCTTCCATACACATATCGCCCATAGAGCAAGACGTCCAGTAGGAATACATACTCTCATTCAGAAGAAAAAAAATGGATGAGTGCTATAATATGGAGTGAAAGGCAGCACCACCAACAAAACCCCATAACCTTGGTTTTATAACTGCGTTGTTTTTCCAAATGCAATGCTAATTGCTTGCTTTAAAAAGCTTTTCTGACACTGTAACTACCCTGTTATGTTCCGCAGCTTTAATCTCACACATTGTTAACTGGGAAAAAGTCTCACAAAGCTTACTGATTCAATGTGTATAGGATTGCAGAACTAGTCTTTTCATATGAAATCGTTTTAAAACATTTATTTTTAGAAACGTATGCTAAGATGCTAATTTATTCCCTTCTGTCCCATAAATCAACACCACTCAACATTTCTAAAATCAGCAGGCCAAAAATAGGATGCCTGCTGATCCCC